TCTGCTCCATCCTGGTCTTTAAACAAATCAAACGCTCTGTAACAGTTAATAATAACTTTCCACTGGAACAACTGAATACTAAATACAAACAACGTGCAGTTTTGCATGATTTGATTTAATTGTGCCAGGAAACACATGATTAGCTTTTTATTGTAAATCAGTGACAGGTTGGTTATTCTCTTCTCATGTTGCTTTAATACATAGAAATGTGGGAAATAATATACTGAGGATAATAAGATACTGCGGTGATATTTATTCAGTGAAGACGTGCAACACAAAGCATTCGGTGAAACCTGACATTCTAAACTCTTGGGTTTATCTCGTCTGCAAAGTTTTTCATTGCTCTTTATTAGAAAGTTTAGGAGCACCAGGTGAGACCTTAAAGGTCGCTGCTGTTTTGTTCTGGTTTCGCTGTTGTGTGTTTCTCAGGGGAGACCTTTTTTCCCGTCCCATAATGCAATTCAAGGAAGAATAGAGCCACTGCCACAAAACATGATAAGGTAACTTTTTGCTGAAAAGGTGATGCCCCCGAGGTTAGCATGACATTTTCATTGACTGTGCTCTTTATGTCATTGTTGGGTTTTTTTTTTTTGGTGTTAAAGACCTTTTCAAGGTGCGACATGTACGACATTTTCAGGAAGCAGTGTGAAATGGAGCAAAATGGTTTGTAGATATTTAAAGAATAAGAAGAAATGAAGAAGAATACAAAGTACACTGCTGTAAGGAGCAGGGTAGATCTTATATTATCAATATGCACTGATAACAGGACACATCTGCTGATCAAACTTCTTTGTGATTTTCCACAATGGGTCCTTTATCAGAATTAATGAAAAGCAGCTTTTCATTTCTCTGCCGTCGGTTTTTCTGCTGAAAAAGCTGAACCTATTGTTGCCTGATGTTATCAGGCAAGTCGCTAGCCAGCTAATTAAACTAATTAAGCTAATTAAGCCATTTAACTGATGGCTGCACACGTGATGTAATGGTGAAAAGACTGAAGTGTCAGGAAAAAAGTAACAGTCCTCACCAATTAAAGGTTTGTGCTAGAAGACAGAAATAAATGCTGTGTTGTTTGCAGTCCCATATGGTGGAGGAGTTGGGCTGTGTATACCTTAACCTGTAATTAGCTAACGAGTTGCTCCTTGGCTTTGGAATCAATTACTACAAGACAGTAAGTAAGTGTTTAAACTTTGAAGTTCACATCAAACAAGAAACACAGGTATAAATACATCTCTTGCAGTTTTATTCTTTTAATTTCCTTTTTAAAAAAAAGGGTTAAAGACAAACAATGACCTAAAGAAATTAGCAATCCTAAATTTAAAGCCTCCTGTGTATAGCTACAGTTGCTAAGCTATGATTAGCTAATTCTGGCTTTTAGGCGTCTGTCTGAGAGCTGCAGCTGCACTTTCACTGGTTACAAGGACATGAAACTGCAGGTTGTCAGATCTGATTGAAAAGTGTTTGCACTCAGCGCTGAAGGATTTGAACCAGTAGTTCCGGCTTTCGGATCTCAAGTGAACAAATCATGGTTCTCGTTGAATTCAGAGCAAAATTCACCAAAGATCCAACCGACAACTCCAAACTTCAGAGAAACATCCTGAATGATTTGGTCAGACTCCTCAGAGCGGTACTTTAAGTCAGACTTCAAAAATCCCTCAGCCTCATAAAAACTGAAACACAGAACTTCAAGCAGCCTCTAAAATACAGTTTGTATAGTTTTCTTGTTCCCTGGAGCAGTTGACTCTTTCTTCAGGGTGTTGTCCAAAGCAAATGTTGGGTCGACCTTAACTCTTCAGACACGGAGCTTTGTAATTAACGATCGCACCGTTGATGGAGATGCAACATGAGCTGCGTGGCTGCAGCTCCTGTGATGCTCCTGCTTGTTTGTGCTGCACCTTGAATATTTATTCAGTCTAAAAGCGCCCGGAGCAGAAATGTTTTTGTGGCAGCGTGAAGCCTCGTCTGTGTTATGATGGCCATTAGAAGGTAGCACACAGCGGGGGTGCAGAGAAAGTACCACAACGAGCAGAATAAAAATGATTGGTTTTATTTTTCCTTTTGTACAACGAGATCACCACTTGCATTAGCCTTTCATGAGATGGGACACTCCACACTTCAGGTCCACAGCTGTGCAGATTCAACCCTTCAATTGAAATCCTACACCTCCTGCCTTGGCAGTTGAATTGGTTGTTTTTCCAAGTGCAGCAGTGGATGAGAGTTGGTCTGTTCCCCTCAGGGTTTGTGTTTATCTGGCAGCAGCAGGTGAAGCACTGTGAGATGAAAAAGAAATAATGGTCAGGTTTAGTGAAAAGTTTGTATCTTCTGAAAAGTAGTTTGAATGTTTGGAATAATATTCTAGGTGTTTGAATTAAAACCTGATAATAGCGAGATCAAAATGCTGAATATTAATATGATTTGTTTTCAGACATGACCTCCGGAGAACTGAATTTCTCCAGTTTTCCTTTCACACATGAACAGCAAGAGATTCAGACGCGTTCATAACAGCAACAAACCCTCCACTAACTTCTGAGAAAAATGTGCATCCAGCTGCTAAATCCTCTGCTTTTCTTCACCAGGTCATTCACGGTTCCTCCAACAGTATCGAGGATCAGGGCTTGACTCATTTAGAAACTTTAGCAGCACATAGAGAAGTACACGAGACAAAATCTATCTAATAACGTGTTTTTAGAACCGACTTAATGTTTTCAGGGTAATAAAGTGCACAAGGTTTTTAGTTATTTCTGCTTGAATCTGTTATCTATATGTTTGACAATGTCGGACTGACTTCCACTAGTTCCACTAGTTCCACTAGAATTGATTACAGAAGCTTTTCTGGGAGTTAATTCCTGTGTGTGTGTGTGTGTGTGTGTGGGAGGAGGTTGGAAACAGAGGAGAAATATTTTCAGTTTTCTTTTCTCTCCCTCATTCTGCTTCATCTCATCGTTTCTCACACCAGCTTTCTCCATTTTGATCAGTTTTCCTTCTCTGTCGTCCACACACACACACACACACACACACACACACACACACACATACACACACACACAAAATAATACCATATACAAAAATAACATCTCGGCAAAGTCACACTGAAATACTCGCAGCGACTCGTGATGCAAAAGTTTCTCTTTCTCCTTGTCTTGTTTTTCAAGGTCTTGTTAGAGCAGAAAGCCCTGGTGGAGTATCATGGTGATGTGTGCTGAAAATTTAATCAAACGAAATGGTGCGGCACAGTGTCGCCTCCTTTATTCGGAGACACTGATGGAATCTCATTGCGTGTCAGGTACGGCCATGACGCACTGAGAGGAAATGGGAAACTGTGAAAGAGGAGAGTGGAGTGGAGAATAAAATAAAGATAACGTAATGGAAAATGGTGACAATGTTACGCTTAATCTTGTTGGAAAGTAAAAGTACATTTAGCCAAAGCGATCTCAGCCTCCCATCATTCATCTCAGCTGAGCAGGATCGAATCGGTGGCTGTTTCAGTTCAGTGACCTCGTCATACAAATCATTCATAATTTACCTCATCACCGACACCGTCAATCTGAATAATTAGAGGCTGATTATTTCCCAGGGAGCTGGCCCTGAACAATCGTGACGACCAATGACAGATGAATGGCTGCTGTATTGTTTTAATTGAGGCTCTACTGCAGTGTACAGACGGTTTTTATGCACATACAGTTTTTTAACATGTATTTAAATTCCCTTTGGATTAAAAGGAATAAATCCTCATTACTCTGCTCTGACTGTATTTACATGCTCTTTATGCTTTTCTTCCATATTCTGCTTTATGAAGATGCACTGATTTCATGAAGCTTTATCCATGAATGTGGATCAGTTACACTTAAGATAATAATAATAAAACACAGGGGAGGGGACACTATTCAATGCATTTTCTGAAATTAATAGTATTATATCATGTTACTGAGCAGCTAAAGACGTGTTGTTCTTCCATCAAGTTGAGAAACTTCTTCAAGTTAAACAGAAGTAGTGGTCGGTAGAGGATATTGAAAGAACTGGCAATGTAACTTCATCCTGATGTACAAATACCACGACAAAATATTCCAGACGCAAACACTGTCGTCTTGCACTGGTGACGATGGTCAGTGATCCTGGTCTCCAGATGTTTTGCCTTTACCCTGTAGGAGCCGTCGTGTTCTCCATCTTTGTACACATCCTATAATGATCACCTGTTAGTGGAGAACGTGTGTTGGTTTGTTGTGCACTAACTCTGCCTCCTGTTAGCATCAGTGTGCAGCACACAGTGCAAGTGTAGTTTGAATATTGATACTGCGTTTCTGCTCTTGTTTTGTACGTCGCCTGATCGGCTCGGCCGTCTCTGAAATGTCAAGCAGACTGAGAGCAAACACAACAGCTGCTGCAGACACATGAACACACACACAGACACACACACACAGACACACACACTCCCACTGCTCACACAGCGGTTTGTTTAACTGCGCTGTGGTATCAGCTAACAGCCTGGTTAATAGTATTCCTTGCAGTCAGACGTGTCGCTTGTGTTAACAACATTTCACTAATTGCATCCTCCCATGGAACTAATTAATTTACCGTTGTGCCGTGATCCTATAATATCTTGAGTCACTAAAAGTAATTTCTGAAGCAGGGAGAATTTCATAAATGGCTGCTTTTGCATTTTAATGCTGAGGAGAGAAGAATAGCTCATGGAGAATAATTCATATTTTTTTCTAAACCCAAAATGAAATAATAAAGGTTTTTTTTGCTGCACCGGTTCTGGACCATGTTGTTGATGACAGATCAACATCATTTAGTCCCACATGTTCTCCTCCTCGTTCTGAAACCGCTAAGTGTTTCCAAGTGACGTTTCTGTTTCATGAAGAAAAATCTCATTACTATTACAACATATGAAAGCATCCTTTTCTTTATTGACTCAAGGTCGTCGGGTTTTCAGAGTTGCTCGTCTTCCCTACTGAATCTGAAAAGATGGAAGCATTGATGTGTTTTTCTTTGCGCTCATGCAGGAGTTGAACCAGAGGAGGAAGGTGGCTCAGGTCGGACTCGATGGCGTGCGGCGGACAGACTGGCACAACTACGAAGGGATCAGGAGAGACGCCGCCCGCGTCGGTAGGTCCAACGTCTCTGCTTCGTTTTCTTCATTTTGATAAGAAGCTAAAATATCCAACACATCTTTGCGAACAAATCTGCTCGCCGACTTTTTAGTTTGGTAAATATAGAGATGTTCGGCAATCCAGATCTGTTGGTATAAAAACATGTGTTGATTTATTGTGAACTCTGACTCCTGTTAACATCAGTGTGTGTAGTTTGAATACTGAGTTGGAAAATATCTGGGTGATTAAATTACTACGACTCCCAAAGTGCATCTGGGTGACAAACCTGATGAACAGGCCTACGATCATAGAAAATAAAATATTTTGAAGATACATATTGTAAAATGAAAATATGCACCAATGTGCCAGTAACAGTGGGAGAATATGAAAGCATCAGATTCAGCTCTGGTCAGGGAAATAAAACAAGAAATGATTTTCGACTCATCATCACTTCGCCAAACGTCAAACTGTGGCTCTGAAATATCAAATTTAACTTTACAAAGAAACATTGATTATTTTCCTAGAAATTAGTTTTTATTCTCACCACCAGCTGATTTATTCAAACATCCACGGGTTGTTTGTTTTGACCCTCTGATATATACGACAGCAGCTGGAGTCCCTACAGCAACATCTGCACCCGACCATTGTTGTCATGGTTACAGTAATAACCATGTGGTTATGGAACAGCGGGTTTTGTCTGGTCCGGGCTCAAACACTACTTGTTGGCCGAGCTAAGTGTTTTTTTTTTTTTTAAGGGGTTGTCATGGTTACAAAAATAAAGCCCCAGTGGTGAGATGGTTATGAACAAAAGAAACTAACACGGCGATCATCAGTTTGAACAGAGACTGAACCCGACCATCCTCCTCGCTCTATAAAACGATCACCATCATCAACTACGCCCGCTGAAGGTGTTTAAGCTCTAACATGTAGCTTTGGGTTGTGATGAGCTGCCTGCACATGCATCCTACAGGGTCAATTTGTCAGAGGAGTACCGCCTCCATTTCCTTCGGGCATTGCATTGTGGGACAATCGTACGTAACACATTTATAAGATAAGTTGTTCCTGGATCTGCTCGTTTGTTCAGATCTGCTGCAAAAGTCTCCGGGTTCCTCGTTGGGTCATGTCCCTCCTCAGCACTTCATGGGATGAGTTCAGTAGTTCTTGAGTGATCCTGTCGAGTCAGACAGAAATGAGAATATAATCTCCTTGACGGAGGGTTACAACGCTTTTGGTCACTTTTGTGGAGTAAAGGCACATTTCAAAGATATTTCATACTCGTAACAGGAGAATGAGCAGCTTGTGCTTAAATCTGCACCTTGGAGACAGAGGAACAGAGGGTCTGTCTCATGTCTTCACATCTGTCCCACGAAAACACACACTATTGTCATATCATCCTCCCACTCAGAGGTATATACACATGTTTAGAACATTTATAAATTTAGATGTATAGATAAGTGTCCTAATTATGTTTTTAACGAGATGTAATTTACTTGCAGATAGAAGGTTGAAATAAAATTAAAAAAATAAAATCTCGGAAAAAGTTTTTTAGAGTGTGGCTGATGTCACAGAACTTTTTTCAAAAACTTAACAAGCACAACACGTACAGACAACTTAAAAGATCTCAGCAATAAAAATCTAATTATGTAAACCATCAAAAGTCTGAGTGAATTATTGGGAAGGAACAGATTTCAGCCTCTCTTGTGTTATTTTAAAGAAGAGACAGATCATTTGTAAGAGCTGTCAGTGAGTCGCGGTTCAGTCTGACTGAAAAATAACATTGAAAGTGAAAGAAAACCAAAGTGTTTTACCCTGAACAAAACTAACTGAGAGCGAAAATAATCTTAAAGTGAATTTTCAAAGTGATTCTCAGACTTCGGTTGGAAGACGACGTTTAGGTGATCGAACGAGTTTGTTATTTAAGAAAAGATGAGTCAGAGAGTTTATATCTGAAATGAGGCGCTAACCTGAGGAGCTATTTTCCACACTTGTTACCTTCAGGGATCGCGACAGATCATCTCTGCCTAATGGAACAAGGAAGCTGGCGTTAATTTGACGCCCTGCTCTGACTTCAGATCAGCCTCCGTGCACGAGTGTGTGTGTGTTTGTGTTGTGAGCTCTGATGAGCGGCTAATGAAACATGCAGCTCAGTGTAATTTGATGCACTCCCTGAAATGAGCTCAGATTTCATAAAGTCACTGTGTGGGAACCGGTTGTCAGGGAGTGATTAGCTTCCTGCTCCACATGTGATACCGTATATAAGAGTTCAATTAAATCATTTATCATCAGAAAATTATATTTTAACTGGAAGGAACTGATTGTTTAAGACTCCTCCCCCCCAGCAGCTTCTGATAAGGGATTATTTTCAGATTTTCATGTGTGAAACTAAACAACAACAACAACAACACTCTTAAATGAAAACTCAGAAGCTGACGAGATCCAACATCATTGGCAAAAGCCGATGCTTGTTTACTTGGGCTTCAACCACATATTAAAATAAGTTAACCAGACAGTAATATTCATTTTAGATTGTTTGAAATCAAAATAACAGGAACAAAACGTGTGTATGTGATAAGTTCATTTGGGATTCTTTTTTCTTGCTCTTTTAACATTGTGTATGTAAAATGATGGGTCTGGTGTATTGATATATGACATGATAATAAAAGAATACATTTATGTATGATTCATAATTAAAGCTATCACATGTCTGTAAATCCAACATGACCATAACATACCAACCAGAGATTTTAATGATGCGTTTATACTGCTCATGCCCCACGGTTACAATGGATATGTATTCAGAGTGTTTTTTTTACTGACATGTATTATATATATATATATATAAGTATTAAATATAAATGTATATGTATGTGTGTGTGTTTGCTGCAGGTAACGGTGAACAGGGCAAACCGTTCCCTCTGTCAGAAACCGACCAGGTCGACCAGGCGTACAGAGAAAACGGCTTCAACATCTATGTCAGTGATCGGATCTCCCTCAACCGCTCGCTCCCAGACATCCGCCACGCAATGTGAGTCCTGTGTGTGTGTGTGTGTGTGTGTGTGTGTGTGTGTGTGTGCTGTTAAAGTTTAGTTGTACAGAACACAGGTTTGGTTCACAGGCGTTTCCAGTGCTGGAATCGGTATCACAACGTGTCCCTGGAAAAAAAAGCCAAGTTTGAAGTTTTCATGATCAAAAGTCAAAGTTACGCGTCGGCCAGGTCTCTAAATAAAACACTGGAAGGGTATTTGAATATTTATATAGAGTCCTTTCAATATAAAGGCCGAATATCGAGGATCTTAGCAGGTCAGAGGTTCCTGGAGAACTGGAGACTATCCATCCACAATTGTCTGGACACCATGTTTGTCAGGCTCTTCCAAACATCCTCCTGCCTCTTCTGTGTTAACGTCAGAACTTTCAGCACTCTCTCATCGTGAACCAGTCGCTGACCCTCACCTCTTCCCCCCATGGGACCGTCTGCCCCTGCAGGAAGTGTCCGGCTCCCGGTGATTGGCGTGTTGTCCGTGCCTCGGAGGCAGCCGGTTCCCCCGACCTGCAACTGACACATTTGATATCTGCACGCTGATGAAATTTAATTGAAGCACACACACACTCACCTCCATCCCCTGAGGGACTCAGACAGGGTTTGTTAAGATTCACCGGCCGGCCGCCTGTCAGTCACCGGGCCTGCCTGGCGGCCCGCGTTCATATTTGAATGAGTAACACGCAGGCTGATGTTCAACATGAACATTGATCGACTGACACAGTTCACTACACACTTTCTCTCTCTCCATCAACGAGGGAACAGAACTCTCTTCCCGTGATTAGCTCCTCCGCAGGGACCCCGCCGCTCGTTGTGATGAGAGTGAGCGACGCGATCGCTGTAGCTTGTCATCGGAGCACGTGTTAGCGGCTGATAACAGCTGCATGTGCCGCAAATAATAAAATTAGAGCTGTTTCTGATGCAGGAGGAACGTGTCGGTGCTGCACTGAGCTGCAATCAGCCGCCTGTCTGAAGGTCTTTACATCACTAAAGGTCAAACTGTGGTGGTCTGAGTCTCAGTTCAGTTTTATCACGTACGCTCAAGATTTCTTTTTATTCCACAGACTCACAGACTCACGACAAACAGACGACAGTAGTTCTTTCATTGATTTAATTTGTTTTTGCTGTGAAGCTTTAACTAAGACAACTGACTCTACGTCTGCTGACCGTCTCCGTCAGTCCCATCAGAATCACTGTGGCTGTTAGAGGTCGTCCGACGATCAAACAGCGGCTCGTAATAAGCTGCGACAACAAACGACCTACAGAAGCATGAGGACACTTGTTCTCTTTTTTTTTTTTTATTCTTTGACATATGAAGCTTCAGCTGAAACTTGAAACCTTAACATTCACCATCAGCTTCCGTTGTGTTTCCTCAGGATCATCTGGTTTTTGTGTTTCTTATAGGTTATTGGCCACATTGGCAGGAAACAATCCACACTAAACCCATGTTTGTGTCAAAAGGAGTTCTCGAAAATGCTTTTTTTTTCATATTCTCTCTGAGACGTGAACACATGCAATTTTCACTGAAACGACAAATGATAGAAAATGGATTGAAGAGTGGTTTGGAAGAAGATTGCACCTGGATTCGAGCCTCTGTCAGCCGCCCTGCTCAAACTCATCCATTACTGCGGTGAATCCATCTGTCACCTCGGCGACTGGAGATCCGCTGAAGAGTCGAGTGTGTGAGCAGAAGAAAGGTTCTTGGATCAGGGAGCGTGAATGAGATGTTCCCTCTTATTCTTAGACACAAGCAATGACCGGATTGTAAAATGACAACATCCAACTACATTTCTGTATTCATTGTGTGTGTGTGTGTGTGTGTGTGTGTGTGTGTGTGTGTAGCTGCAAACAGAAGCTGTATTCAGAGAAGCTGCCCAACACCAGCATCATCATCCCGTTCCATAACGAGGGCTGGTCGTCGCTGCTGAGGACTGTTCACAGCGTCCTCAACCGCTCTCCTCCACAGCTCATCGCCGAGGTCATCCTGGTCGACGACTTCAGCGATAAAGGTACGGACCACACACACACACACACACACACACACACACACACACACATTGAGGAGAGACTCACACCTCCTCAGAGGAGAAAGCAGTGTTTGGCGTGTGTGACTGATTTTAGTAAATGTACTTTTCGGTCTAAACTTCTTCCGCTCATCAGGAAATTAAGCTTAAAATTTTAGTAAGGATGCCACTAACTAACAGAATGAACATTTGTGTTTGCAGAGAGGGGCCTAATTTTATATTCAACTAATATCCAACTTTTATATTGTGTAGTTTAAATTGTTTGTTGCGACAGCGATCGCAGTTTGGACGAGGACAGAAAACAAAACCCTGGAAAGTGAACAACAATCAGCAGCAAGCAGAAGCTTCAGTGTCTTGTTGGTTTATGTGTCTCTTTGTAACTGAGGGCGTCAGTAATTGGTCATTTAAAGCTGTCCGCCCATTTTCCAGTAGAATGATGACAGTGTAATAACATCTGAAAACAAAGCGTCTCTACTTCTGCGTATATGTGGCTTTGTTTGTGTGTCTCTGCCGTCGCTCCTCAGCCACCGACATTTCTCTTCCACTGTTCTGTGGTTGAGTAGGTGTGTGTGTGGAAGAAAGTGTTTACTTCCATGTTAATTAGTGCTCTTTGTCACTGTCCCTCACTGACGGGTGTGTTTACCTCTCGTCTTAAGTCCTCATGGTATAAATATTATATCAGCGGAGGTGAAGGCTGCAGCTGCTTCCTCTTCTTTTTCTTCTTCTATTGTTTAATTATGCCTCTACTTCCTGGGATTGGAAGTACTGTACCGTAAAACTGTGTACGTAACCAGTGACATCATCATCTAATCATATTTAAAATGTTCAGAAGTATAGTTTTATTTGAAGGTGGGAAAAAAATACTATTAATGGGCATACACCTGAAATCAGTGGTTATTCATGTAAAACCATAATCGCCAAAATAAGTAAAACTTTAGGAAAAGATTCAGACAAAGACCTGCGTCATCACTGCCCCTCTCACAGATCCCTGTGGGTGGGAAACACAGAACAAGTCTGTGAACCCGGAACCTGTTTGGTTCTGGTCCCTCTGTCGTCAGGGATGGATGGAGGAACATTAGCTGCAGGGAGGAGGTTTAACCTCTGCAGTCCGACCGCTCTAATATTCCCTCTCACCATCACTGTCCTTTGATAAGAAATGAGTCTGGCTGTAATTAAGGCTTAAGAGACACAAGGACAAAGTGAACTTCAATCGGTTCTGCTCTGTGGTTCGAGGAGCCGGTGTTACAATGCTGAAGAAAATAATCCCTCCACAGAATATACCACAAATCAATGCTGGGCTTTGAACCCCTGCATAATAGATCAGGGAGCGAGTGTGTGAAAGAGGAGAGAAAAAAGTGGTTAATCATAAAGTGTGTTCAGTCTCACACTGCGGTTCCTCGTTTGTGGTTCACACACTCATTTACCAAGACGGAGCTTAATCGTCTGTGATGATGAGAGACTAAAGATTCACGTGTAGTGAACTTTCACAATAAGTTCTGACTCTTTTTCTCCTTTGTTTTAAACCAGTCAAACAGTTAATACATGTATTTGATTCAGTTAAGCTATTCAGACATGGGTGGATGAAGACGTCTGCTCTGTATATAACACACACACACACACAGGTGGTGGGGAACCCTTCCACTCACTTCTGCTGACGCTGACTTACCTGCTGTCCGTTGAAAAGCAGCCGTGGAGCCTGAAGGCGTATTACTCTTATATTTATAACCCTTCCTGAAGCACAGTGAATCACGATGAGACAGTTTCTCCCCCTAAAAATGTGAAGTTGGCCTGTGAGGTGCGTCAGACTACACGTGCTGTAATTAAAAGAATGACCTGCAGTTTTATTAAGGCGGCCGTCAAAGGATCCCCTCATTTTACCCACGTCAGCCTCTCTCCCTCATCAACCTGCTGAGTTAATGCTCATTTATGTTTGTTGTCATCCAAGATTTCAGACATCTAATTCAGATTGTAGTAATGTGGAAGAAATGTAATAGTCGGAATAGAACAGCTGCACAACAAGAGTTACTTTCAATTTACATAAATCAACTGGAGATGTAAGAACGGTTGTTGATTCCCACTGAAACAAGTAGCGGATTATTGAAGAAATCAGTCGACAGCGTCTTGACAGTCCTCAACATACGAGTTTGTAATTTACAAATATGTAAAACTTAAATGTGTTTGCACTAAAGAGGAAACCGTCTTTCACTTCTTCCTAAACCGGTGTCAAACTGTTAAAGGCCGACTCCTCTCCTGCAGGTTTTCGCACTTTCTTCATATCTTGTTCAATTACAGGTCCCGGTAAAGAGCAGGGGAGAGGAGAGGGAGAGAGATGCCCACCTTATGGCCTCTCTGCCTCTCAGTTTATCTCTCGCCCTCGCTCCGCCGCCACATCTGACCAGCAGGCAGCTCTGATTTACAGCCAGAAACCGAGCGTGACGCAGAGTGAGCGAGTGTTTCTATCAGAGCCGCTATCTTCCATCTTCACGCCTCCACAGATGGAACTCTAAGAAATGACACAATATCATATTTCAAACCCCTTATATGTAAAACACAATATTCTCAGATTTGATATCAACGATATAAAGAAAACCACTAATATGGTTTTATGTATAAATCCCACTGTGCTGGAGGGAGAAGATAACACCTTCATGGTTTCACATTTCCTCTCTGTGGTGAAATGGCGAATGGACGAGTTTCTGGTTTGAATCCGATGAGAGGTCATAAGTCACAAAGCGTTTATAATAATATAATCACTTTATCAATAAAGGTTCAGTAGCTCAGGTGCTACACTGAGTTTAGATTATTTTGACCCGATTCTAACTCAGACTAACTCGGCTGAGGGATTCTAACAATAGTGTGATTCCCACCGCTCCCTCTCTGCTGGGTAAACGTTCGCATGTGTGTCTGGCAGCTTTAACATTTGTGGCTGAGCGTGAGCGATGAATTCTGCCGGTGGAGCTCGAGTCATTTCACGGATTTAAGGCCAGATGGGGCCGAGAGAGTAGCTGTGACTTGTCACTTGCAGAAACTGAAAAGAACAGAAAAGCTGCCTCCTCGCTCTCTTCGCCGTCAGGGAGGAGAAAAGTGTGTTATTAGGAGGCGAGGAGAGGGAACCAAGAGCATGAGAGTGTCTGCTTTAGTGAAAGTAACCTGCTGGAGTCTTGTATGTTCCAACAAATCAGGATTTCTTGGGATTCGATCAACAAAAGGTTTCATATGGTCAAACCTCCCGTCTGCTACTAATCCCACTGCACTGACTTGGAACAAGCTGTGATATAAAGGAATCCTCCTCAAGTTTCATATAACGTACGCTGTAGCTCCTCCATCAAATATACGCATGATTCATTTAAGCATTTTGGATTTGTTTCCTCCTACTTTAGTGAAAACTAATGGGGGGGAGTTTCTGGCCATTTTCCTGACACATTGGCAATGAACCTATATTTACTTTTTCAGTGAGTCAGAAGATGCTGAGAGTAGCTCATCTTCTCCCTCTTTATTACTGCTACAGTAATAAACAGAGCTCCGATCACAGAGTTTGTGCCAAGCGCTCGATACCGAGCGTTAGATTCAGTTGCAGCCTGTAAACAGGAGTCCTGTTGTTTTGTTCTGCTCTCGAACACAACACATTCATTTTCATTTTAAATGAAACTTGTGTCATGTAATCACAGCCGGCAGCAGAGCTTGTATTTATTCCGCGGGACTGCGGCGGTGCCACACTGCACCATCAGCTACTCTGTGATGGAAACCTGCCACTGGCAGATTGATCATTCAATTACCCCACCCTCCAACCCCCCCACTCCCCTTCTGCTCCCCCATGGGATCAGTTGAGCAAATGGCTGCAATGCTTCATTTCAAATAAGGAGTGGCCTGCTCTTATGCAGAGTGTCTTTTGATGCATTTCCAGTCGGTGGTCAGACAGCTGACGTCAGCACAGCCTCCGACTGCAGCCACCGGAGACCTGAGTGCTGCTAATTGTGTAGAAATGCATTTGTTGTGGTCGTAAAGAAAATTGTTGTAACCTTTGGAAGTGTGGGTGCACAGACCTGCCAACAACAGCTGCTTGTGAAATAAAGGTACAAACACTCCTACATCCATGCATTTTAATTTTTAACTGTTGCCACATGAACTTCTGCCATCTGGAGTTTTTGAACACCTCAAAGGGAGAAGTTTGGAAATGTTGCTGCATCATGTTGATCAGTTCTTATCCAGTTTAACTTTGTTTCAAAACGTGTTTTACTTTTCACCCGAGCTGTTCCTCATTTGTTTTATTTTCTGTAACCAAGCAACCAACTGCAGAGTAGACTTCCTGTTTTCACCGGCACACGCGTGACCAGGATACATCCTGATATGGAGTTTAAATGCGTCTGGAAGAAGTTGGAGTTTGGCCCAAATTGTCAGACTTGTAAAAAGTGATGTTCAAGAAAAGGCCCTGTTGTTGTTGGAATCATCCTCTGGGGAGCACAGTGTCCTCGGTGAATCTTTCGTGCACTGGAGGAAATCTTTAAATCGAGGGTTCGTCCTCTGGGGAGCATAAATGTGCTCAGTTAATTACACGGCACTCCGTCTAATAGATTTTGAAATTTTGGCTTAACATCGGCCCGTGCACTTAATGAACTGATTAAATTTCTAGATGGTTTTATTAATTATTGAGTTGCTTTGGCTGCCTGAGAAAGCTGCTGTCAGCAGAGCGGAGCTACTTTGAACACTCTTATCAACGGCGGCAGCTTCGCCATCTGCATGATGGAGAGGTGAGGAGAGGAAGCAGCGGCGATGAGGAGATAGGAGGCGATTTGTGGGACCGGCAGCGATGGAGCCGAGAGAGAGAGAGAGGAAGCAACGCAGAACCACTGATCAAAGTTCAGCATGTTTATTCATTCACGCCAGCGTGTGTGTGTCTGTGTGTGTGTGTGTTGAGGCTGTGGGGAGATAATGGGGTAATGACGCTCAGTGAAGTGTGACGGAGAGACGAGGGGGAGAGTGATATGAAGAGGGAGGTTGAGAGGGAGACAGACGACAGAGGACAAAAGGAGCTAATTGAGTGTTGCCATTTAGAGACGTAGAGCCATCAGTGGTAGCTGATCGATTCCAGCGTCTTCTTGAAGAGGAGACGATCAGATGAGTCACGTTTACTGTGCCGTTGCTCTGGTGATGTACATTTGGCCTCAGTGTTGAGTTATAACCTTGGAAAATTTATTCTAGAGATTTGAAAAGCAGCAAATTCCCTTCAGACAAATCACAATTACCAACATACATCAGCTGTTTTGTTGTTTTATTCACTTTATTCACCAAAATCGAACAAAGACCTGAAGCAAAACACTTTATTGAAATTGAATAGGAAAATATATTCAAAGACAAATGTTCATGAGCTGCTTTTAAATAAAAGAGCTACAGATAAAGACTTTTATATTTCCTCCATTCTATCACCTGCGTTTCTGTGGAGGGGTCGCACAGTATTGTGGGTCAGGATTTCTGTCAGATTGAAAGATTTTACTTTCACTTTAAATCAAAGTGGGTCAAATGATTGGACCAAAAATATATATCAGGATAAATGTCAAATCATTTTCCTGTAATTTGCTCCTGAGTGAAGGTTGCGGCTTTTAACTCTAATGGGAAGAAGAGAAATCTGAGGCAGAGTAATAATGTATGATTACTGCTCGCTGTGATTATACGACGTATAATATCAGTATACTATATTTTTACTTTTATTAAAGAAATAAGAAGAATGGCATTTCCATTTAAAATATAACAGTTGCCGGTGGCTAAGATGTAGATGAAGAACAGATGCTGGTGTTCTTAAAGAAAAGCATTATGCATAAATGATTATTCATTTAAAAGTTAAACCTACAGCGTCTAAACTCTCTCTCTCTCTTTAGTGTATTTAAGATTAATCACATCAACACCACAAGGATTGAGGAAGTCAACTCAACATTGTTGGTTCAGTCGTATCTGAAAGTACTTTCTACAAGTCGTTTAAAAGTAGCGTTAACAAGAGTGAAACTTCGGGGACGGTCATATCAGGGACTTCAGGTGAAAGTATCACGTCTGATACAGTTTAATTCTTGGTACATGAGATAAAACATTTGTTCACCAGTAGAAGTCTGTTTTTAAAGGTGCAGATTTGAGCAGTGGTCTCCATAGTCTTTAACATCCTGAGTTATATCGACCCATCACCTTCACGACCCAACTCCTTTGCTCCTGTCATTATTACTACGACCACTAGAGGTCGCCGAGCAATAAAACCCAACTGTGGGTTGTAATAGCCTTCTTGCCCCACAGGGTCGTTTCTTTTAAGGGAGGGCGATCTCAGTTGTACTCGCTTCATCGACTCATAATCTCCAGCACACGCCGGGGCGTTTTACAGCCGAGGGTAAGAGGAGGAGATTTATCCTCGATGTAAAGAGTTAAGAGCCCAACTCTCACATGCAGCATGTCGCAGTAAAGATGGTGGACTGCAAAGAACGGCCAGTGAGATCGATGCAACGTTTCTGGGCTGTTTAATAAGCAGGTTTGCTGAATCGTGCCATCATTGCTTTCATGCATCTCCCTAAATGTCTTCTATTTGCTGACCCACAACACGCTCAGTCAATTCCTCCATAAACAGATTTTTTTTTTATTAAATGATGGCGGCAGAAAAAATCAGGCTGGCACACGGAAGAAGAAAATTGACAGAGTGTAATAGAGTTCACTGGAATATTTTTGCAGAGGAAAACTGAGCAGTCTTTGGTGGTGGGGAGCATCTGGGGATTAATCGACCGCCATGAAAACACAGCTCCACCGGCCATGTTGGATCCACTCTGTCTCAAAGTGAATTGAATTTCTTTTTTTAAATGAACCAGGGTGGATTCGCTGGTGGTATTTTAGGGAGAAATGTATGTGTGTGCACATTTTGTTGTGTATTTGTGTTCATCTAATGCAGGAACCACACTTTTGCCAGTAGCTCATTTTCAAATCGCATTGATTGTTAAGTTTGAAGCGTTTAATGATGATTTTTAATCAAATTTTTCATTATAAATTTCAGATATATCTATATACAAAGCTTATATTGGATTAGAATGGGAATTTTGTGATGATTCATAGTTAAAATGATGAGTGTACGTTTCACTTCAGTGTCTACAAATAAACCAAATAATCAAAATGACGTTAGGACTCAAAGGTCCAATTACAACAAACTTTAATCTTTGGATTATAACCAAATACTTCTATAGTTGTCTAAATCCAATCTCAAAACCCAGCCGCTATCGATTATACATGTAGAATCTGTTAATAGAGATCAGTGTAACACAACCCTTATCTGTTTTTCACTATGGTTCCATTTGGAAGTCATTTAGGGTTTAAAAGAGTGTGAATGAATTCTACCGACACTCAGCTGGAGTTCTTTCAACGTCATCTTTATTGAGCTTGATCGTTTGCGTTAATGTTTATTTATTACTAGTCAATGCAAGTGCAGCGTCCTGGGGGGTGTTGGGAAAGAGCTGAAGTGAGAAACAGCTCCTTTAACACACTCAGGTCGAAGTGAGATGAGCGTAACACATGTACATTTTTATCAATGACATTTTAAATGTGCACAGACACTTTGACAGGAGCCTCAGGCCGACTGCCGAGCCTTTCATCTGCTAACCGCTAATTCATGTTTGAGTGCGGCCCCCTGTGAGCACATGAAAGAGGCGCGAGCCGCTTCAGCTCCGTCCACCGGAGAGTCAGCGAGTGACAGACGGCGAGGAGGCCGAGGAGGAAATGGAAGATTGGTGCAGTCGGAGACCAGGTGGAGTCTTTAGTGGATAAGTGTCCTGGATTTCTATCACCAGCCCAGTGTTTGACTAATTCATTCCCCGGCCCCCCGCTGTGAAACGACCATGACACCGCAGCACCTCCGATCTCCTCGGCTTCACATTCTAATAAAGACTAATGTGTTTGCCGACATCAGCTCGTGCTCATTAGCATGATTAATTGCCTCCTTGCTTTCTCCAAAACAGTCTGAGCTGCATTCCAATTTATTCAGGGTAAAATGAACCAATCATAATGAAACACTCTGATCTTTCTCTCCCTTACCTCCTCCCCCCATACAAGCTCTCTCCATGCACAGTGCAAATGCCCGTTGATTAATTTTGCCTCGCTGCCCGTCATTAGCGGGATGATGTAAGCGTTGCTTTGTTTAGAATGAGCCTTCATGAAGAGTCAGCCTTGTAGCGCTCAGATTCTAATGGTTTGATTTATCGCGGAGGCAGACAGAGAGGACAGCTCGCAGTTCCCTCACAGTTTGATGCTGACCTCGTGGAGCCCCCCCGCCCTTGTTGCAATGTCACGCTTTACAGCGTGTAGGTCGGCCGACACGAAACACAATAAACACCACAGCAGAACGTAAATATGGCTGACCTTCAAGATTCAAGATACAAAAACTGTGCGCTCGCTGTGAAAGCAGGGACAGAGCGATTAGTATTTGATGAGGGGAGACAGCAGAGATAAAATAAAAGAGAGAGACGAGTGTAAATCGCAACACAAACACGCAGCTTTGAGGGATTAGGTTGAGGAGAGTTTTGCTACTTGCAGAACTGATCGCTTTGTTAATTGCCTCAGAGTTCAGCACCTCCTGCACAACAGTGGACACTGATTTCAAACTGAGGCTGAGAGAGAGAATCGGTATCATCCGCTGTTCAGAAGACTTGTTGCACATCTCTTGTTTTGTCTAAAGGGTCAAAAACTGCCTTCACATACGTTAAAGTGATGTAACCATCACACTTGTGAGGCAACACATCCTCTCCTTAAAAAATGCTTTCCTGCCCCGTGTCCCATCCTTTCATCCTGCAGACAAACAAACCAACAATCAAACAGACAGAGGCCTCAATTGTTAAACCGAACTGCTCCTGTGACAAATGAACTCTGATATCAGTGATGGATGGAATTCTGCAGTCACAGGGCTCATGGTGGTCTGACAAAATAAAATCCATCCACCTGACCATAGATCCAACAAACCTTTGGGTTCAAATGCGATGTAGAACGTTTGTTTGCTCTGCCTGCAGCAGGAGGAGATCGTTGTTATCACAGTTACACTGCAAGGCCAAGTTTTTGTCGCAAGAACCAACAAACACCGTTCAGCTTCTGCTCACTGAATACAAGCACGTCCTCCTCAGTTATACCGTTTAACTCACACGTTAACTTTCATTGAGAGAACTGTGCTTCCTTCACTTCCATGTATTTTCAAAACTGCTGATCATGTGTGAGGTTGCAGGGAGCTGGAGTCTGTCCCAACTCCCAGCATGCAACTGGACAAAACGCAAGAAACACTGTGTAGGCTCCAGTTTACCCGTTCCCAGGGTGCAAATTGCTTTCACTGGAAAAGCGTCTTCTTCTTCAAACGCCTGCAAACAAAATACATTTTGGTTCACACTTAGAGAAACCAACACTTCTGCTTCATGACTCGAAGTGTGATGATGACACCTCCTCATAAATTACCTGAAACTACAAATTGTCATCTGATCAGCCAATGTACTAACAAACGACTTTTTAAATATTCTTAGCACATCCTTAACTCAACAAACCCACACCTTGTTTCTTGTTATGTGGAGGAAAAATGAAATAATCTACCAAAGTAATTTGACAGCAACCATGATCTCATCATTTGCCTCCACCGTCACTTCTCGTCTGTGCAGAGCACCTGAAGGCTCCGCTGGAGGAGTACATGACCCGGGTGCCGAAGGTTCACATCCTGCGGACAAAGAAGAGGGAGGGGCTGATCAGGACTCGCCTGTTGGGGGCCGCCGCTGCTAAAGGAGAAGTTATCACCTTCCTGGACTCTCACTGCGAAGCTAATGTCAACTGGCTGCCGCCGCTGCTGGGTGAGACACACACACACACACACACACACACACACACTCAAAGACGAACATGGCCAAGGCACACAGATGCTGCTTTCTCAAACACACAACCAATAGCTCACATATAGAAATATTTATAATATATATATGATCTCCCTCTCTCTCTCTCACACACACACACACACAGACCCACACACACTCTCACATACACACACACACACAGACCCACACACACACACACACACACACACACACACACACACACACACACACACACACCCACACACACACACACACACACACACACACACACACACACACACACATACACAGACCCACACACACACACACTCCTGCTGGGAGTCTGAGTGCTTATTTTATAGCTGGACTTGCTCACCACCAGTCCCACATTCCCATTTACCATTTTTCTATTAAGGACTCGTGTTGAGCTGTTTCTCTGCGCGGCTCCATCCTGCACGGACGCATTATTCAAAAAACCTTATGACCCATATTACCTTAATGTCAGGCTGTTTACACAGAACACGTCTGTATGTGAACACGTGTCTGCCTGTGTCGCTGTTCTCTCCTCTTGCTGCTGCACCATAATATTCATAATGGAGACAGTATGGAGGCTACGACTAAATGATGAGTGAAATTACGTTTTGGTTTTTTTGTATGATTTCTTGCATGATGTGCGCCACTCGTTTATATAATAAACTGTAATTTCCAATATAAAGTGAAGAGAAGAAAACTCTGACGCGTAAATGACCTCCAGCTGATATTCTGAAATGAATCTGTCAAAGGAACTTTGAATCCTGATGCACCAGTTACCTTGTAAACGAATGTGTCATAGATGGAGAACCAGGCAGAGCTTGCTTTAAGAAATTAATTAATATTAAAGCAACACTACGCAACCATTACTGAGCTTCCTGAACCAGACGAGCTGCTGGGGGTATATATTTAAATATAATGCGTAAACAGCAATTTGTACAATTTAGAAGAAACAAACTAGTGAAAACATCTTTAGAATTATTTTATATTGAATAGATCCTTTTCAGTTTTGCTTGATGTTCCTGTTGCAGTCCCTTGTCTTGTTGTCTTTGCTTCACTGTGGTGTTGAGTCAAAGAGCAGAGTAACAGTTCCTATAGATGCTGACAGGAGAACAGACTTTAACAGTTTCTGATGCCGAGCGTTAGAGATGACAGCAGGAGTTGTGACATTCCTCAGGAAACCTTTTTTCGCTGAGTGACCCGCGTCAACAGACTGGCAACCTTTTCTGTGCAGCGGTCGATGTGTCTCTGACATGCACTGAGAGCTCAGTATGAAAAGGGCAACGCACACAAACAAACACACAAACACACACACATTCTGTCTTCCTGATCCTTTACTGCTGCACATGGTGAACATGTTGATACAATATTCCTCTGCTGTGATTCTACCTGATGAATGACCAACCGTGTTGCTCCCTCTCCGTCTCTCAGACCGAATCGTCCAGAACAGGAAGACCATCGTGTGTCCAATGATCGACGTGATCGACCACGACAACTTCGGCTACGACACGCAGGCGGGCGACGCCATGCGAGGAGCGTTCGACTGGGAAATGTACTACAAACGAATCCCCATCCCCCCAGAGCTGCAGAGGGACGACCCCAGTGAACCTTTTGAGTGAGTGACCACACACTTAAATACACTTCCCTGATCGAAGCAATACTTTGTACAGTCGCCAGACATTTTTCCATGAAATGATCATGAGCGTTCACACTGGGCCTTTCTGAGGCTCCACACCAATAAACGACTCATCACGTAGTGTCGCTAAATGATGAATTGATCGATCACAAGTTGTATGAATCCATTTTAAAGCGTAGCGGCCGCCTTTTGAGTTGATCTGTGCTTCGTCAATCAGATCTGTGTTAAAAATCCAGTCGAAATCTGATTCCTCTGTGCACAACGGACAGCAATACAATTTCTGAAGGTAATTGAGGCTGCAAACAGAGTTGCGTTACTTCAACACAACAGCTGAAATTCATACAGCTTCATCTTTGCCTCAGCGCGTCTCAGCGGTAATAAAGTTTATTTCCCCAACAATCAATCAGTGTTTTTAGAGTAAAGGGGTTTTTACTCAAAGCAAAGTAAAACCATTTGTATCTTAAGCTGCAGCAGCTTCACAGTAAAAGCCTCTCAGCTTGTGGGTATCGAGCAGTTGACTAAACAGAAGATTTTATTTTCTTCTGGTGTGCGTGCGTCACGATAACTGACTGAGAGTTGGACTCTGAGCTCTTCCAGTGCACAGAGACTGTGGCTGAAGGACCTGGTGTAAACAGTGACATGAGACTGCAGCTGCTGTCGATGTGCAGAGAAAACAAACAGCAGGACACACACAAACATCTCAGTTCCAGTCAGGAAGGAATAAAAACGTGTTACTGGATCGTTTGTGCAAACGTGCACTAAATGGACAGATGTTGTCTGTTGAGAGACACTGTTGTCGTTCTTCTTGACAATGGTTTGCGGCAAATGTTCAAGGAGACTTGTGCAACCTGCAGAAATCCAGGTCCAATTCAAAATCAGGTTTTGTCCCTGACATCCCAAAGGGCTGAGTGAGATGTTTTTACTTTAATCAAAATTCGGTACATTCATGATCATTAAAAACAAAGTGATTGAGATTTATTAAAGAAACGTTAAACCAAAAAACGGAGCGAGGAACAGTCGTTTGTAATCTCGTAATATCATTTCATCCTCTTCCCCCCTGGCGGAGGGTAAAACTGCAGAAACCTGGCTCTTATCACCACTGGACTCGTGTCAGTGCTCACGAGGCGTGTGAAGCCCCAGAGTGTTTCTCACTGCTGACACAACAGTCGCTGCCCTGTTTCCCTGTAATTGATCCTCCTCATGGACGACTGTGGTGAGGGCAGACTACCTGCTGGCTGCCTGCCTCCGACTTCTACCTGATGAAAAGCTTGTAACTATGACAACCTGGTGTACCTGCGAGTGTGTGTATGTGATATGTCTGCGATGAAGAGGACCACATTTCTTCCAGGCTCTAATGGGAATTTTGGCTCTTTGAAGGGAGCTCGGTGCCTCTCGGAGCGATGCATCATTCTTTGTTCTTTTGGACTGTTGTTGCTGTGTTTGCTGGTTTTAACCTGAGGGGTTGGGGGACTCTCAGTCCGTCAGAACAGAAAAATTGTCTGAGTTGCCAAACACGAGTTTCATTCGAAACCAAAGAGAGCCCTTCAAAAGAATTGTTGTTTGTGTTTTTGATTGACTATGCAGAGTAGCGTGATTAATTGGCTTAAAGTACTGCGGTGCAGAGAGTCGGTGTTGAAGAGCAGCTCCAGTTGATGAAGTTTCCAACTAGAGATCTTGTTTAAATACGTCGGTGTTTGCACGTGCTGCCCCACTTTCTCTGCCTCAGGTTTGCAGCAGCTACAATCGAGCACAGCGGCAAAACAGCAGCGAACAAGCGGTGAGCATGGTCACAGAGCTCTGTGGAGGGCTGACTGGTGCATTGTTCTGCTCAGGGGAGTCTGTTGCTGCAAATGGAGACAGAGAAGAACATACGAACATAAACTTCATTACATTTTTGACATTTACACCGATTTTCCCTGGAATACTTCAAGGATCTTGATGACGATGGCATTTTTAGTGGACTGATATTTACGAGTGTGTGCAATTAGGTGAAGATTGATTTGAATTTAAGGGCCTTGGGCGGAGGTATGAATGTTATCACCAGCCTTCAGACATGAACTGAATTCTGGGTAATCACCTGACCTTATCCAGAGCGACTGTATGTGAGAATGCCAATGTCAGAGTCAGAGGTTTCCAGCTAGCTACGAAGTAAAAACTCGAGTTTCCAGTATTATTTCCTTTCTCTAAATCAACAAATTCTTAACTTGGATTTTTTATTTTTTTTGCTTTTGAGATGAAGCAGAAACAAAGAGGATGTATTTTGCACAAACATTATTGATGCACATATTGAGACTTATTTACGACTTTAATTTTAATTCTGTTTTGCTGAGACTCCTTCAAAGCAAAGATAATTCTTAGTCACATAATCCTTTCCTGTTTTCATTAGTTGTTGAAGACATGAGGAAAAAAGCCTCAGTTTTAATCCTGTCCCCCTTCTCACAAATGTTCCTCATGTTCTATGAAAAAAGTATTTATTTGTTATTTCAATACATTTTTTAATAAAACATCTCTTGTTCTTCCTCGAATGGAACGATGCCTGAATACTTCAGGTCAAGTATGTGTCACATTATGGAAAC